CCCCCCCCCCCCCCGCCAGCAGACCAGGTAGACGGGGAGCAAAGCCGCGGAGGACGCCTGCAGCGGGACAGCCACGGCGCGCCTGGGCTGTCCCGCTGCGGGCGTCCTCCACGGCTTTGCTCCGCGTCTCCCTGGTCTGACCAGCAGACCAGGGAGATGGGGAGCAGCTTTTCTCGCCCCGGAGAATGCGGGCGGCGGGACCGCGGCTCATCTGGGCGTCCCGCCGCTCCTGTCCTCCGGGGTGAGAAAAGCCCCGTTCGTAACTGCGGATCTGACGTAAGTCGGATCCGCGTAACTCGGGGACTGCCTGAACCTAAAAGGGTGTTACAAGGAGGAGGGGAAAAATTATTCTCTGATAGAACAAGAAGCAATGGGCTTAAATTGCAGCATGGAAGGTTTAGGTTGGACATCAGGGAAAACTTCCTAACTGTCAGGATGGTTAAGCACTGGAATAAGTTGCCTAGAGAGTTTTGTAAAATCTCTCTCTATCACTGGAGATATTTAAGAGCAGATTAGATCTGTCAGGGATGATCTCGATCAGTGGTCATTGGCAACCTTTTCAAACTGAAGAGCCAAACTACATCAAAATTCACAACACGTGAGCCAGTATAAGAATGCCCATTTGCATGACTGAAAATATACAACTTTCTTTATAATTGACATAATGATTAATAGCATAAATGAAACATTGTACTCAACGACTTTATTTAATGGGACTTCTGTTGCATCTTTTCACATCATCACTGGTCAAATTCAGCTTCATGCATGCATTCAGGCTCTCTTCTGACAGTCTTGAGTGCAAATTACCTTTGATGTGATTCAAATGAGAGAGCCTGCTCTCCCACACACAGGTGGAGCCAAACATTGAAAGTAAGGCCAAGCTGATATTCTGCATGGTGTTGTATGTGATAGGAAGTTCTTTCCAAGATTGCAGAATCACGTTGTCATCGTGCTCCAATTTCTTCGTCAGCCCATTTGTGCAGTTTTGCCAATTCTGCACATTGTCGAGCAAGGCATTCTAAATCAGAATTCAGCTTGACAAATTTATTCCACCCAGATATCGGACTCCTTGAAATCTTCTATTTCTGTTTCCAGATCGCTGACTGGAATGACTGTCAAATCTAGTTCTTCAACAGATGCTTTATGTGGATAAACTTAACAGCAGAGCTCTGTGTTTGCAAAAGTCAACAAAACAAGACTTTAATGCCATCAGGAGCTCAGAAATAAACACAGCAAGCTGCTGCAAATCAAGGCTGTTACTTGCATTCTGTCTCTGACACGAATCACAAAACATTCATAATTTTTCAAAATGTAGCAGTCTGCCCATCTCGGTATCTTTGACGAAGACGGTCAGTTTTGACTGAAATTCATACACTACCTGCTGCAGAGTCAGGACTGTATTTCCTTGCTCTTGTAGCTTTAAGGTTCAACTTATTCAAATGACCGGTAATGCTGACGAGATAGTAAAACTTCAGCAGCCAGTCAGTCAGAAAGGTTGGGGTATTTGACACCCTTCATATCCAGAAATTAATCTCATTAATGCAGGTGGCAAAGCGAGACACAACTTTGCCATGAGATAACCAGTGACCATTGCTGTGCATTATTAGATGGGGGTATTTGGAATCTCCTTCCTCAAGGAGTGACTAAAATTGATGGTCATTAAGGGCTTGAGCAAGAATCCAATTGACAGTGAACAGCCAGTCCTGTTATATTTTTGAGTTCAGTTCCACAAGATTGTGCACAAAGTGCTTCTTGATGTACAATGCAATAAAGTTCAAAATTGGGCAGTTCAGCTATTCTGACAGAAGAGTAAGGAAACTCCTGTATTTGCTGACCATGCTAGGTGCACTGTCTGTACAAATAGACACAAGATTATCCAACTGTATTTCTTGCTTGTTTACAAAGTTCATCACAATTTTAAGAATGCCTTCACCCCTTTTTTGATAATCTGTCATTTCTTTGCACAGCATTTCCACAAATGTAACATCCCAGTATACATAACAGATTAACATTACATATGTCGGTTGTCTCGTCCAAAGCAAACAAAAATAAGTAGCTGTACTCAAATTTTGCATTTGTTCCTTGTCGATTTGATGGGCCATTTTCACAGCTCTGTCATGAACTATTTTTGCTGATAGGCCATTATCTTGAATTTTCTGTAAGATTTTTGTCTGTGTTGTGAAATTTATCAATAAAAGGCTTCCTCACTGGAATAATATTGTATGAGCCTGCAAAACTTGAGGAGTTTAAGTTCCCACCCTTTTTTGACCATGCCAGCAGGCTATTTTGCCGAATGTTCATTTTTTGCTGAAGCTCCTTGCAGGCTTTTTTTGCACATTACTCTCGGGGTATATTGTAGCAAGTGCTGCATGTTTTGTCATGAAATGCTGCTCTAAATTTGATTATTATTATTTTTTTAAAAGGACAGTCTCACACTGTAAATGAGACAGTGTGGAGATCCAGACCTATCTACAAATACATTCAAGTCTGTCTGCTCCTTTTGAAAATTTCAGTACTCATCATCTTTCTTTCTCTTTGCATTTTTGCTATTAGGGTGCCACAGAGTTCATTATCACTTATGATGATGGAAAGATTTCTTAGCCAATTAAATAAAGAGAATATGCAGGACCTCCAATGTATGGAGAGGATTGATGATTGTTAAATTGAACAGTTAAAGGTGAAATAGATTTAAAAAAGACCATCTTCCCATGTGTAACTATGCATTTTTAAAATTTTGAATTAACTTTTTACTTTACATTTTAAACAGTAGTATGTATTTTGGGAATGACAAAAGAGCCATATTTGGCTCTAGAGCCATAGGTTGCAAACCTCTGATCTAGATGGGGCTTGATCCTGCTGTGAGCACAGAGGACTGGACTTAATGATCTCTTGAGGTCCCTTTCAATTCTATGATTTTGATTCTTTGCAACAGGCACTGTTCAAGTCTCCACAAAGATGCTGTAATTGTGCTCTTCCTCCTTTAGAAATGGGGCCATTAAGAACTGCTGATATCTTTGACTCTTCCCTGGGGAAAGAGAACATATTTGTTCTTCTTTAAGGATCTCTGGGCAGTGCACTTACAGAATATGTTGTTACTGGCATCAAGCTACGGGATAGCCATGACAAGGCATTCCCATTAGGCAGTGCACAAAGTCTTGCATGAGGGTGACTTCATTGCCCTCTTCACCATCTCTCCCATGTCATGAGAATCCTATTGGAAGAGACAGATTCCCTCCTCAAGAAGGGAACCATAAAGGTGATTCTATAGGAATGCTGAAGAAAAGGATTTTAATCCCACTGTTTGCTGATTGCCAAGGAGTGTGGATGTCTGAGGTTCCTCCTGAACCTCACAGACCTCAACAATGTTTTCCATTTTCCTGGTTCTCAGGGTCACAGAAGGAAGATCAGGTTGGACAAAGCAAACATAATAGCTGCACCATGGTCTTGTTAGCACTTGCATTCAGATATCCTGCTGCTAACCAGGGAGATGCTTCATCAACTACCTTTGTCCCCAGAATTCTTGTGTCTACAGCAAGGAAAGATTTTTCATCTTGGCACAGACACACGCCTCTTAGTAGCTTAGATGATAGATAACCTAAGACTAATTTGCATAGTCCCTGCTCTCAAAGGCTTCACTTTGAAATGTTATAAATAAAAATGGCAACTGTTTGTCTCGGCTGCTGGAGGAAGACTCACTGTATCTCAAGCCAAAGTTCCTGCAATCATTGAGTATCTTCTATACTTAGTTTCATACTTAGCAGTTTTAGCCGCTTCCTGAAGGTCCATATAGAAACAATACCTGCTTATCAAAAAGTTTTCTTAAGGACAAACCCATCTTTCACTTTCAAGGTTCCTAAAGAGCATTATTAAATGTTCAATCAGAATGGTCTTCCTGATAGCAGAGGTTTATTGGTATGAAGATGAGCAAGTGAGCTTAGTGCTTGGATATCCACTCCATCCAACATGCACTTCTAAAGGACCACATCCCAACTGCATACCTAAGGTAGTCTTAGAAAATAAATAGATATGTGGAAATCTACCACCTCATCACTCAGGGGAAGCAGGTCTCCATGCACCAGATATAAAGAGCATGTTCTGCTTTACCTGAAAGGGGGGGGGGGAAAGCCCTTTAAATAATCAAATAATTTTTGTAGTATGGGGAAAATATGCCAGGGAGAATCTACTACCAGACGTGCTCACAGAATTATATGATGTATGGAACATAGTAATATCTTAGCTAGGAAAACAGTCCTGATTTGAAAAGCTATTACATGACCTGCACCTCACTGCCGTATGACAGCGCTCCATATTTATTTAAGAACCCCCTCACCCATTATATACGAGGTTCAGCCAGGCTTTCTAAACTCCCACTATCAGAAGCTTTTAGGCTGGTAACTAGTGGTAAATATAGCTCTATATTCATGATAATGTTCCTCTTTCCTTTTTTCCTTGGAGTTCTGTGTAACATCAGAATTCAGCAGTTTAGAAGAAGGAAGTGGGGCAGTTCCTTATGTAGAGTAGGGGTGATGTCACTCATACACACTTTGTGTAGTGATGTAAGCGATGAGTCAACTACCTGAAAAGCAGAAGCTTATTGGATAGTTGAGTAGTCACTTGACTAGTCATTTCCCTCCCCTCCTCCTCACCCCCCCACTACCTCTATCAGTGAGGCAGCAAGCAGGAGGAGGGGGAGAGATCAGAAGCCGGTGCTGGGGGGGAACTGGCTTAAAAGCCAGTTCCCCACTCCTCCCTCAGCGCCAAGTCCGAGGGGGATAGGGGAGGCAGAGGCATCCCCATCAGTGCACCTCTTCCTTTGAAATGTATAAGAGCAGCTGTGGGCGCAGTGGGATAGCGAGCACTCCCCTTATCAACACATCGAGTAGTCGATGTAAATTCTACCAATTACTCAATTAGTTGAATAATCAAAATTTAACATCCCTAACCCTTGTGCACATGCCAATGGACATAGTTTTGTAAAGTAGCTTGACACAAGTGAGTCACATTGCAATGAATTGCACAGAGGTCACTCTTGTGCAGTTAGTGGTAAGTAACCTCTTTCCAATGCCGGAGGAGAAGAAAACTGGAGCTAAATGTGGAAGAAATTTCTTTGGTCTTGCTTTGGCTGTGTGATAGACAAGGAGTGGCCAGACTTGAGCTTGGAACTGTTGATCTGCCTTCTCATGCAAGACTTTGGCTCACCAGGAGAGTCTATATCAAAGGACATGTGTTACTCTCTAGGTCTGTGTCTAAAATACAAAAGATATGGCAAGTTTTAAATTCTGCTATGTATCAAGACTATAAATCTGTTTTTAATTCATGCATTATTCTAATCTCTCTCTAGAGGGCAATCTTCTACCACAGATTAAGCAAGCTAGCAAATAGTTCTAACTGAATATGTGGATTTTGATTTTGTTTTCTCAGGTATTCCTGTAAATTATCAGGACGTGGCATCTATTGATCCAGAATATGCAAAGAACTTGCAGTGGATTTTAGATAATGATATCAGTGATCTTGGTCTAGAACTGACTTTCTCTGTCGAGACTGATGTGTTTGGAGCAATGGAAGAAGTGCCTTTGAAACCAGGGGGTGCGAGTATTCTTGTTACACAAGACAACAAAGTGAGTGGTCAGGTTTATCCAGAAGTTAGATGAGAATAATTGAACTGAATTAAGAGCGAGTAGAAGCATAAATTATGTACTTACTTTTAATATGATGGGTATAATTACATTTAGCTGGCAAAATAGTCCCCATTTGTATATGTCAGTAAATTGGACCACTGTTCTGCAGAAAGTTCTTTAAACAGCTCTTGGAAATTTGTTTTTCTTGAATGTTTTTGTTTATAAAAACTTCAATGTAGAATTCAAATGAAAGATGTCTTAGAAGTGACATTATACCTATATTGCTCATGGTCAGGCTCATGAGGTGGGAAGAAGGTAAGAGGGGAAATATCAACAAAGGGCACTTGTGGAATGTTTCAAAAAATACAATTCTAGCACTTGCTTAAGTGTTGCAAAATTCACTGTTAAAGATGGTCAGGTGGCTAATTGGTGAAGTATTTTAAAATGTGTTGGACCAGAGGAGTGCAAAGCGCCCAAAATTCCATTTGAAAAGTTAGTAGGAATTGTGCTCTGTGGTGTTGAACAAAATGTGGTGTGAATTCATTCCCTAAATAGAAAGGAAAAGTAACCATATCCAGTAGAAACCATGGGGGCAGCACCTGTGAGTGGAAGCCTCTGCTGCACCTCTACTTAGGATCAGCAGAAACTAGGGATGTGACTAGTATAAAGGATTAACTGATGAGGCCAGGCTCGTTGGTTAACCTTCACAGTTGCACGCAGTCCCCCGCCCCCTGCACTACTGCTTCTGTATCAGAGGCCAGCAGCATGTGGCAGAGGGACACAGTTAGGAGCCACCTCCTGTCTCCCTATCCCCACTGCTTGTAAACGTGTACTACTGAAAATTTCAGTGGGCCCACATTTACCAAAGTAAACACATTTTAACATTCCTTGCAGGAACAGGTGGCCACTTTCAGGGAGCCACCCAAGTTGAGTGCCTTCCAGATCCAGTACCCCAAAACTGTTTGCATTCCCCAACCCTCTGTGCACTTCCCACCCCATACACACACCCAAACTCCCTTCCAGAGCCTGCATCCCACACCACCTAGCTTTTACACTCTAACTGTCTTGGCCATTCCTCCACCTAGAAACAGCAAGGATATCTTGCTGCTTTCAGGAAGCCACGTAGAGCCAGGCAGGGAGCTTGTTGGCTTAGGTCAACTGGACTTTCTATGAAGATTAAAAATGAAAATTTATAGAGCTTTCTAGTTGTTACAGGGCTGGATAACACAGCTTTTACATGTAAATTTCTGAATTTTAGTTGTGATTTGTTTCATGTACTGTCTCCATGAAGAAAGTGAGGATCATTAGTCTGTGGTCTGTAATTACCATAACAAGAGTAAAATATACAGGCAGTCCCCGGGTTACGTACAAGATAGGGACTGTAGGTTTGTTCTTAAGTTGAATCTGTATGTAAGTCGGAACTGGCGTCCAGATTCAGCCGCTGCTGAAACTGATCAGTTTCAACATCGGCTGAATCTGGATGCCAGTTCTGACTTACATACAGATTCAACTTAAGAACCCCCAAGTCAGCTGCTGCTGAAACTGATCAGCGGCTGATTCCAGGAAGCCGGGGGCAGAGCAAAGTGCAGCAGGGGAGGTTTAGATTGGACATTAGGAAAAAATTCCTAACTGTCAGGGTGGTCAAATATTGGAATAAATTGCCAAGGGAGGTGGTGGAATCTCCCTCTCTGGAGATATTTAAGAACAGGTTAGATAGACATCTGTCAGAGATGGTGTAGACGGAGCTTGATCCTGCCTTGAGGGCGGGGGGCTGGACTCGATGACCTCTCGAGGTCCCTTCCAGTCCTATAATTCTATGAGTAAGAAGTTCTCCAGCTGGACGTTATTGTGAAGTCAAGGCGGGTGATGTAGATGCAGGATGTTATCTCGGAATAACATGGGTTACTCCAAAAGAACACTGCTGTGTAGAGGGGGCTACAGCTGATGAGAATACATGAGCCGTTCCCAGGTGAACAACCGCCGTGTGTCTCTGCCCC